CATCGACACAAACATCATTCGTGCTGTCACCGCCATAACTTTGGCATTTCCCCGTTTTCTCTAATGATTATATTAAAATATGATATAGTGTATAAGATATACGCAATACACTACATCCGCCAAGAACTTCCACGTAAATATTATACTTGCACACTCGTACGATACAAATGCAGAGAACGCATATTTAGTATTTAAGTATATTATATAATAATACATGCACACAAAATAGGTATCTATATATCTATATTTATGTAGGTATTATATATATATATATATTTATATATAAGCATGCGGACGAGCGGTGTGGTTGATGAAGTTTTCAACACCACGCCGAATGAGAGTACTTACTACCACTGCACCGCCACTGTTCTCATTATATATCACACTCGCATTCCGAGTGTTGTTCGTGATGCAGCATAAGTTTGTTGCGCGAAAACTTAGTCGAACCGTGGAGGCGGTGAACGAAATTAAGCGTTAAGACTTACCCCACTGCGATATTCATATTATATTGCAGTATGTATGTGCGTGTGGAAGTTAAAGGTTTCAGCGAGCCACCGCCAAACTCAGAGTTTATGTGTAAGTATTTATATGTGTAGCGTGTATATATTATACAATTTTGGCGAAATGAAATATTACAATATTACTACTATATAGCGTATAAGCCATGTAATTTACAGAAAACATTCCGTTCCCGTCGTTTTTTCTAATTGTATCAAAACCATATTTATGTATTTTATTACCATACATGTACAGCGCGTAAGGCCTTGCCTATACAATACTCGTACTTATACACGTAGATATGATATGTACAGAGAGTAAAGTAGATACCCATACGGTTAACCACAGCAACTTTACCGTTGTCGCCGTAACTTATTTGTCGGAATATAGAACTTTAAATATTATAAATGCCGCTGTTGAACATATTTTGTATTTAGTTTATTATATAAAAAGGAAAATAAATTTACACGGTAAGTATATATACATACCGACAAGCGTGTTACAATGACCCGCACTGAGTAATATATAAATGTTTTGAATCTGGGGACCGAATTGAAATGCGTGGGATTTTTCCACGTTAAACGACGATTCGACACCGTGGGGAAAACGTTTTGAAATGTCGTACACAGGTTTATTTATTTAAAAATATATATAATACACGGTACGTTTTTGGTTTTCTATCGGTTGCACCTGCAGGTATGCGCAGGCGACAAGAGGACGCTTTTTCGATCCGGATTAAACCGCGCGCCGCACAATAACGGCGATGGGTAGTCGTCACGTATCATATAGTAATCATTACAGGTCGTCGAGAAATGGTCGCACATTTATTATACCGTTGTGAACGATCTATTTAATTACGGCGAAAAAACCTTTAGCGAGATTATACGGTCCAAATGGCCGACGACCGGTGCACGCGGAAGATTTTTATTGCAGGGTCGTTGTTGTACACACGCGTATATACTATATATAAAGGAGTAAGAACTCGATTTTGTAAGTATAACGTATATGAGTGAGATAGATAGAGTGAAAGAGAAAGAGATGAGAGAGTATGAGTAAATGAGAGAGATACATAAGAAGTGGTCGATGGAGAGAGACGGTGCAGAGAATGAACGAACTTCCGCGGTAACAGAAGTACCTACCTATATATACAGTATGGAAGAGAGAAATCTTAAGGATCGAAGATAAACTGTTGCGGGGTAACGAGAACGACTGTCGCTGAACTATCCCCGGGGAGGAATCGCCGACGGTTTGTAGTCATCGACTTCTCGGGCTAATGCAGAAACATTAGGTATACGCGGTAACCCTCTCCATCCCGCTACACCATGAGGATATACGCAATTTCGTTCATATGTGTATGTGTGTTCTTTTCACGGGTAGCTAAATGCAATTATTTCACTCTTTTCCCCACGCAGACATCAGTACCTACCCTTTCCTACTGGTGTCCACTTTTTCTTTAGTTTCGTCACTGTGCGTGCGGTATATTATTATACACTATATAAAAATAAATTATAAAAATATAAATTACCGTGTTGGTATGCATATTATATTAGTAAGTAATAAGTTATACTTTTATGTTGGGTATATGATAATCGTAGGCCGTATGGATTTTACACTCTGTATATAAAGCCCGAGTAAAACGAGTTAATTTTCTTTTTCTCGTTTTGTGTAATATAATTCCATTGGCAGGACGTCGTCTCGCGAAAATAGTAATTCATCCAAAGGTTGAAGGTACATGATATCGTTATGCGGACGAGCAACAATGTGCAGTAGCTAGTGGTGGTGTAAGGGAGAGATGTTATTCCGTACACAGAACTCGCATGTCTCGCGGGACCAATATAATATTGTCGACCCGGCGGAATCCTTTTAATCGATTCGGCCGCACGTTTCACACGTCGTCGAAACATTGTTATAGCATCTACTCTTACCTATTCTTCATACCTACTAAACATACGGAAATATAATATGTTTAATGATAATCATATTTTAAAAGTATTTACTTCAAATTACAGAGAGTTAAAGTTAATAAAACAATTTTTTTCAACAAATACAGGAACTTTTAACTCTGTGTGGCTATTTTGAATTTGTTTTTCCAGGACTTAAACCTCTGTACCTACTACTAAATCCGTACGACTAAATTTTAATTGTCTACATTTTTTTATACAATTCATTTTTATCGTTTAAAAGTTATAATTTTTCATTGGAATGCATAATTCTATTTTCTCGAGTACATATAGTTTTTTTTTTTTTTTTAAACATTTAAACATTAATTTATCCCAATTATCCTTAATATTATTACTCAACTGTTTATAAGGTACGTTTAGAATTAATTGAATCGTCTGTACACGTATTATTATAATAATACCATTGATTCTAAAATATAATATATTATTGTGTATTCTAAAATCAATGATAATACTAATATAATACGCACTGTTTTGCCTGTACGTCAAAGTTCAAATATGCAACGATGACGACGTATACTATGTTCAAACATTGGATTATTGCTTCCGTACGTTGCTGGTCGTATAAACTATAAACATATAGCCAAATACTATTATTATTATTATTATTATTATTATTATCATCATCATTATCTTCATTATTATTAAAGATCAGTATCAGTTGGAAATCGATTTATCCGGCACACGGCCGCGTGCACGCGCTCTGTGTGTACTGATCTCAGGACTGATTGTCAGCTATAAAATACATCACGACACATACACCACCGGTCGAAACGTTAATCCCTCGTCGGGCCCACCACACATATTATGCACATATGATATAACTTGAAACTTGGTAATATATTTTCAAACTACACTATCATATAATACTGATCGTGCACTACCGTCTCTGGTTTGTTTGCTCAAAAACTATAATGTAGCATTAAGCTATTTATCGTCACAACTCACAACTATATCACATATAGATTAGATTACAGTGACATTATAAAAAACTGGATCGGGCTTCCGGAAAAACATAATATTATTTATGTATGCATATAGGTATTAACATTAATAATAAATTATTATGTAGGTGGATAAATTGAATTAAAATTTTACACGGATACGTATTTTAAAGCGATATAGATTTCTATCTACTTATTATTACAGAGGAAATAAATAATTGTACTTCGTACAGTCTTGATGATTGCATTGATGCGTTGTTCTACACAAAATGCTCGTATATTGTTTTTTTTTCAAATTCTGTCACTACTAATACAATCGTTGCGACTTTGGTCATGTTATGTTTTTTATATAACGTATACCGACCTAGTGTTTATTAGCATTTAGTGAACTTAGACCCCGTGTGCATATAATATAATTATTTATAATATAATTAGGAGGTATATAGTCATAGAAAAACGAAACAAACCAACCACGATATCGTGGTGGCAGCGTGGTGCGTCGAACAGACCGGAAAATTCCTGGGGGAATCGCTCAGGAGACGGTCCGTCGTTTACTTCAGTCTTTTCCGACGCCGCTGCCGACGGGTTTAGAGGGTAGTGCCAAAGATTATATATATTTTATCGGACTAACCTAACCCCGTGTGCGTGATAGTCGACCATATAATAAAACAGTAGACGGATCGGTGCCGCGATGACGGTAATACCAAGTGTGAGAGGGGAAGAGGGAGGACGATTGGCAGTGTGCATCAATCATTATGCGCAAACTATATAAAATTATAATACTATAAGCTATATATATATATATATATATATACATAATATTATTGTAACTTTATTACGTAGTATACGTTCATTACCCCGACAGCAAATTGAATAATGCAATTTTCTGTCCGGGGACCGTCCCCGCGGGCTCTTGTCCGTAATTCTTTCCGATTCAATCCATCGATCTAGCGTTTCGTTTTTATTATGATAATAATATGTACGTACACCGATCTTCATATGGACCGTGGAAATCGGTGAACAAATTAATACGCACTATAATGGAATAATTGTGTACGATTCAAAAAACAGTTAATAATCGGGTTATACGCTGTATGCCATTGGTGTTTATTAAACGCCAAAATGTTATTACAGGTAGGAAACGAAACGCACTCGGCCCAGTAATATCACAATACGATGCACAATATTATTTCCACGGTATAGTCGGTACTATAAATAAACTATATTTGCGACGGAATTCACTGCGGATAAGTGTATACTTAACGTTGTTTCATTGCTATACCTGGCCATTGCAAACTCAACGATTTTACTCAACTGTAAATATGATATATACCATAAATAAATAGGAGAAACGTTAATTGTTAATACAGTGACCTTAAGACGAACGCCTTCAGTTACAACACGAAATTGATAATGAAAAATATTGTTTTTAAGTTCTTATTATTTACCACCATCCACAATAAACGTATAATGTTAATATTTTGTTTAGGTATTGGATACCTTCCTATCCGTAATAATAATATTACTGACATTTGTTTTTGTTTATAAGTTATAACTTAAACGCAACTAATTTAAAATGACACGTTTTGTTTTATAGATTTTTCTTGAAGTTTTTCTTGAAATGCAATCAAAATTGTTTGAAAAACGCTGGAAATCCCAGAGACATGCGGAGGTTTCAAGTAAGTAGTTACCTTTATTTTTATATTATATTTAGAGTATAATATACACTATATTATGTTAAACAATATTGGAGTTAAAAGTATATGTATATTGTATATAAACCAAACAAGGTCTTTCGTTTCCCCAGTTCAAAAAAAAAACCGAGGGGGTATTTTTGTATTTTTTCATTCAAGTCATTAACGTAAAAGGGTTTTCCAGTATTATAATATGTATATATGCGCACAAAAATAAAATGATATATACCGTCTGTGGTGGGTTTGTCGTGCGTGTCCTATACGCTTCGTTCAAACACGAAATGTAATTTTAATATCATTATGTACTCCGATTATTGTGGGTTAACATCGTAAACAAGAAAAATTAAACGATCTTCGTTGACGTTTTCAGTGCGCCGTAAATATGTAGGTATATATATAAAATATATCAGTTATTATTTTTCAAACGGAGAAACGTATTAATTACTATATAACTTATACGTACTATGCATAATCATTATTCACAAAATAATAATGAAAAGGTGTAGTATGATACTCGTAAAACGAGAGAATTGTCATCACAGGTAAAAGGCATTTGTTTAATTAATGCATGTGAAAATTTTGCGTTTTTTTTTTGTTTCCTAACACGCTCATCTCTGTCGATTTTTTTCGTATAAATATTTTATTGCATTTCACGCTTTAAATAATAATAAAAAAAGTTTCTTTCATCTGACGATTGTAAGAATATAAAATTCCATCACGGTTCATAATTGATGCAATCCCGTCCGAAATGGTAAACAGAAAAGTAAAAAAAGTAGAAAATAAAAAAAAACAAATGAGAGGTTTATAGGAGAAAGAGAGAAACCCTTTCTTGTATTAATTATTTTTTTAAAGCTTTCGGTGTAAAAATTACTCAAAACAGCCGGAATTTATGTCAAGACTATCTACGACAGTTTGTGGAGTATGCCACGAGTACGACTAATAAAAGTTTTAACAAAATTAACTCACATAACTAAGCAAAAACAAATATATACAACAGTTTTACATTAAGAAAACGGCAGAAAAAAAAATCAGCATATTACTATTTAAAGTAAAATAAAATAATAAAAACCAAAAAAAAATTTAAAAAAATACCTTGTGAATTAAAAAAAAAAAACATTCGTTCAACATATTATTCACCTTCAAATGAATAATTATCACATTATTGTCGTCCTGTAGGTATTTTATTTGGCGCGTTTATCACGTTTAACGACGATGGTAACCATATTATTATCATCCCGTAGTCGATATAATATGATAACATTCCAATTGAAAACAGGGAACGAAAACAACAAAAAAATACCTCGACATTATTATAACACCCCGCCATTCATAGCAATGACATAAACACGCGGATCATTCTTTTTACGATACCCATAATTTTTTTTTCTCGCTGCACGTAATAAGTACACGCATAGGTTATGACGTTATGTACCATTAATCATTATGTATATTTCGTAAAATAATAATAATACTTACACAATTTAACAAAGTTAAATAAATCGATGCTTGCTAGTCTGTGGCGCATGCGTGCGTAGATAATTTGCGACGTGTAAAAATACATTTAGACAAAAATATAAAAAAAGAAGTCACAATAATAATGGTAAACTTACGAAGATTCCCGTTCATCATCCGCCACTCTATCAAATCCGAACTTTTGTAGTACGCTAGAATATTCTATCGGTGTATGCTGTTTATCACAGGCGTAAATATTATAATCATATTATTATTATGTGGTGTATTATTGCATCGTATAAATCCAGTAGTAGGTGGCCCTGCAGCAGTGTTTAATATAATAATACCTTTATTAAAGTTGCGTACTCACATAAGTTGTCACCACCTCACTGTTGACAAATTTGTACACCACGACTTAAGCTGAATGTAAACATGTAGTTAACATATATAGTGCTAATATAATTGTTATAGGCGATAAAATAAGGAACATCGTAAACATAATGGACCTTAATCCGATTTATAGAACGTACAAAACATAAAAACGGTCTTGAATAGTTAATGGAATAATAATATATAAATAATATAATCGTTAATTGCAACAATAATTTATAAATCAATGCTTTAACAACAATAATGTAATATAAATGTACAACACACTAATAAGCAATATTACAGTAAAATTTCTATGAATAAAAAAACCTTATTCAACCATTAAAATTACAGCTGAAAGTAAAGAAAACAATAATTATTGACAGAGAGCATCAGGTTGGATGTCCCAAATCACGTTTGTAATTTTTCAATACCTTAAGTCTTAAGCTATTATTATTATTAAGTTTGTATACATATATAAATTATATAAAAATCTGAAAATGTTTTATCAAGTAATTTATTATATATCTACAAAAAAAAAGTCTAGGTACTCGTGTTGTACAGTATTTACGCGCCATATTTGACAGTTCCGTTTTCGGTATCGAAAAAACAAAAGTATTTTTAAGTTTAATTAAATTGACCAGTTAAATTTCTAAGTTGGCTATTTTTAAAAGTTTAATTCATTCAACTACCACTGGCCTCTCATCCACGCCGTTAGAATATATACAACCACCTTCATTATGTAATAATGAGTTTTTAAAAATTTAACCCAAGTTTTGTCGTTAAAATAATTTTTCCACATAATTCATCTATATTACTCATTAAAAAAAAAAAAAAAAAAAAGTACAATGCAAACCAACAAAAACAACAAACATGGACACAAGTTTTTCAAGTACCGAACATAATATATTAATTAAAAATACAATTATAAAAAACTACTGAGGTGTATAGAAATGGTATTGTAAATTGAGTAAATAACTTGATCGATTATACATAAAACCTCCCTTCTACAGTTCTACCAATGAAAGTTGTTGTATATTCCACCGGTGAAGCGTATATGTAATAATGACAAAATACGGTAATAATATAGGTATACGACACGTCTTGCGTTGTACACTTGTACGTATATAAAGACGCCCGGCTGATGTACTTCGCTTGTGTACGTATAATATTAAAGTGGCACGGGAGATCCGCAGAGGCAAAAGTCGAAACGCTCAGAGAATTAACCCGTCTTGCGTGCAGGGTACATAATAATATGTATATATATATTATATACGTACAACACCCCTGCTTCGCCCCACCAATCTACCGTTTCGATACCCACCCCGGAATCGGCGGTGACGGAGGCAGCGGCGGCGGTGAGGGGCACTTGGCGCTATGTTCTTTAGCGATTCAAAACCAACCCCTCACCTCCGTCATACCGCCGCGCGCGTGTTCCCATGGGAACGGCAACCCTGCGGGACATCGGGCGTAGGTGCGGCAGTCGTGGCCGGTTGCGTTGAGGGATGCGGCGGCGGAAGACGACAACGACTACGACGACGTCAAGGACGCTCGCGAGCTCGCACACGATCGTCGTCGTATACCACACGGGCGGCGGTGTATTCCCCGGAGGCGGAATTCAAAACCCTCGAGAGGTGGAGTCGATTTTACCCTATCGTGGTCGCAAAATGGGTGGCGGTGTGCGCTCGTTTTGTGTGTGCGTGCGTGTACACCTACCCCCCCCCTTGCACTCTATCACGCTCAGTAATATAATATGTTATATTTATATATACATATTATATTCTAGTGCGTGTGCATGTGTGAGTGTGTGTGAGTGTATTATACATACAAATATTCCTAAAGTGCACTGCGTCCCCTGCTTGTATTTGTGCAATGCGCTGCAAATGCCAGCGGCGCGAATAGTATATGCGTATGTATATATATATATATATGCAAGTATAAGTAAGTACGCATGTATAATGTGTATATAATATATATATTTATTTGGCGAGTGGCCTGCCTCGCCGCGCGGAAAATTCTTATTATTTCGACGGAGCGCGGGTAAAAACTTTCGTCGGCCAATCTAATTTACACCACGCGCGCCACGCGTATATATTCGCGCGCGCACACACACACACACACACACACACAAACATACACGCGGGGAGGCGCGTGCGCTCGACTCTTTAATAATGAAAAACTTTTCGCGAGAAAATCGACGCTCGAGATTTAATAATTGACTACACGACCGCCGCCGAATGCGCTCGGTGCGGCAGCGGCGGCGGCGGCGACAACGACGATGACGACGACGACGTCATCGGATAATTCGCAAAGCTCGACCTCGTCGTATAATATACGACCAATAGGATATGTTAACGAGCACTGAATTTTGTAACAACATTGTTTATCTGTCTAATGTTAAATTTCATAATAGGCGTAGTACAAGAGCTGAAGCTGACTGTTCACGCTTGCGACTTGGGGGGCGCACGTTTGGTAATAACCGGATCGCCAGATTCGCGTTTTTCGCATTTTTTCTTTGTATGAAACCATGCGATTAGTTAAAAAATAACGATATAATTTAAAATGTATTTAAAGAGATTGAAATCGATAATTTTTTGTGTTTTTCTAACGCTATGTAGTTCAATAGGATACAAAGTATTTCTAAACGCGTATCGATAAAAATTTATCTTTAAGTACTGAAACCTTATTGAGTTCGATTTCCCTCACGTTTAACGTATCGATATCTTCCGTGTTCATCAAAAATAAAAATATCACCATGGCGTGCGTATCCGAATCAGCGTAATGAAAATTTAGAGTCTGGAAAAAACTATTCGATACAATAATAATAATTATTTATTGTTGTTACCATCGCCGACACAATTATTTTTATAAATATTCCAAAAATATTGTACAAATTCGTTCTTCATTATTATAACTTATAGTAATCTTTTACCAAATAGCTATTACTTTTTATGTCAATTATATGAATTAAAATTTTTCTATTTTCATTGTATATCTATACATTTTCCGACTGCGGTATGATAAGTATTTCCGGGTACTTGTATTAATATTTAATGATTATTTACCCAACACGATAACGATAATAATATTATGTGTTCAAGAAATAGGGCATTTTAGATTCTGAGTGGAAGGATGGATGTATTGATTTTACAATGATGTAAGTGTATGTTTTTAAGTCTGTCATCGCCTTTCAAGGCAGTAAAAATTCTTTGATTTTCAACTTTGGAGTCGTTTATGGTAAAAAATTGGATGTAGACAGTAAATTCATTTAAATTTTTCTTATATACGTATTAGATATTAAAAATATGTAAGCACAATTTTTTAATATAGTAATTACATTTGAAGTTCAATTTTTGATATATTTCGTCAAAATTATAATAACTAGCTAATTATGAATACCTATTTTGAAATTAAAAATAAATAATATTTTTTACCTACGATTAGAAAATTTAATATAAGGTTGTTCATAAGTATTTTTGTTATTATATATGGTATAAATTATATTTATATTATTATATTAATAACATATTAAATCCAATGTAATCGAAAAATATTAAATCAATCTATTCTAATACTAATAGAAAAATAAATTAATAGCGTCATTAAAAATCATTAGATATTATAGTCTAACAAAATGTCTCCATTTAAAACTTGTTTTTCATACAGAATAATATAATATATTTATTCTATATGATATATTATATCATTTAATTCAAATTTATCTCATTCATTATTGTTATTTATTACTTACTCGACCCTTACTTCTTACTCGGTACCCGCTTTCTCAATTTTTAATTTTTACATATCATTCCAACTCTAATACCACGTGAACTGTGAGTCTGTGAACCATACCATTCATATAAATTTGGTGTAAATTATAATAATATATGTACCTTATACTTATACAAAATGGTCAATAATGTTTTCTTACTTTAGTGTGTTTCATTTTTTTTTTTATAACTCAACAACTCATCTATATAAATACCTCTATTAATAATGGTATCTACGAACATAATATAGTATGGAATTACTAGATCCGATTCAGCAACCACCGCCGTGGTTGTTAACCCTTTTCAGCCATAAATTTGAAATAAACGAGTAGAACTTATCTCTCATGTAATATCTAACGTGTGTAGTAACTGCTATGACGCTGTGAATTATTATTTATTATCTATCATTCTTTGTGTTATATTATTACATACGCGCCAAACATTAATCAATATATTATATACATATATATATATATATATATATATAGAGAGAGAGAGAGAGAACTACTATAGATATATATTAATTCTCCTTGTTTGATAATATTTATCATAATAACCGATCGTTCATGAGTTATACATGATATAATAATAATAATACTTATTATGTACCTCAGCATTAATGGATCAGCCAATTTAGCTATTATGTACATGACTGCAAGATACAACGCATAAATTTTTTCGTGAAATAACTTAAATTTAGATAGTAAACATATTATATTTTTTGCAATAACTTCACCCGAGTACACTTACAACTAAATTAAATATTTCCTTAAACTATGTGATTCACAAAGCACGCTTACTCCCTTTTTTCCGTTTAATAATCAATTAATTCTAATTCTGATTCTTAGAATCTTTAAGTATTCTTAAGTACCCTATTTTAAATTATTTTGATATTTTTATACATTTTAAAGAGTGTTCTGTTATGATACAAATTTTTCAAACAAAAATCAACCTTTTCTTCTTAAAATATATTATGTTATTGTCAAGTAGATTTTTAACACATTTTTATATATGCTAAAATCAAAATTAGAATAGTTTATTTCTTAATTATACTTTTTTCTTTTTACTTATTAAAGATAATTTTCTTTAAAAATTATATCATAAAAAACATAAAATAAATGTAGAGCAGCTACTTGCGTAATATTGGATTTAGTGCCTGGTAAGGTAACACATGGTAAAATACTAAAGAAGAACTCATTTTTCCTATCATAGTTTTATTTTATTGCTTCTGCGTGGACCCATCTTAGAATTTATATTATGTTCGGACAATTTTACTTTTATAAAATGTTGATGGAATAATATTAATTACAGTACTTTTTTAAATCGTCATAGTTCCTATAATATCTACCAAATCCAATATCATGAACCTATTGTCTTTATAACTAACCATTAAAGAAGTATATCAATTTTTTTTTTCAAAAAATTCATCTGTTTAACAATTTACGAGAAAAAAATTGATTCTTATTGAAAAAAATAAGCTGGTATAGTACACTTCTTAAATGGTATAAGAAACTCAATATTAAAAAATATACTTTAAAGTACCTTCGTTTAAAAATTCCAAAAATTAAAATTTGTATTAATCCATTATTAAAGGAAAAAATGGAGATGAGCATGCTTGGTAAATCTCTGTACCAATTATAAAAATTATATTATATCTATATAAATATTAAAATATATAATATACATACACAATAACACTAATGTACAAAAAGATTTCAGCGTACATTTTAATTTTTAAAAATTATAAATCAAATCGAAATTATGTGTATATAGATAACTTAAAGTTGTCTGCCATAAAAATTAAAACATACCAGTAATGTGTGAAACCGTGTATAATATTTATTTTTAATTTTCAGGTGGTCATTTCAACACAAGTTACAGTTGAAGGTCCTTTATTAGCTGTATCGGATAACATGTTCGTACACAACAATTCGAAACACGGACGCCGAGCAAAACGTTTAGATCCAAATGACGGTAAGAAAAGTACAGTATTAATACCTATATATTTCCATGTCGTCAAGAATCAGATATAAATATTACACGTATAATCATTAATCACATAATATAAATTTGACGAATTTAATTTGTATATGTTCAACGTACAAAAATAAAAATATTTTAAAACTTTATATTGAAAATAATTTTTATACAGAGAAATATTTCATAAGGCCAATTTCCACCAATTCTAATATTAGTGTTTTAGTAATTTGGTAAAGCCGTAAAGGTCACTTAATATAAAATATTATTATTTCCCCACTGCGGAGGGCAACGCATAATAATGCTATGGTATGTTTTCGGATATTATTGTCATTATCATGAACGTTTTTTCCTGTTTTTATCGTGCGGCATACTGCATATTTTACGTAGACAAGTTTGGCGACATATCAACACGACCTAATATTTTTTTATAATTAACTTGGAACACGAAAAGAAATAAAGACATGCACAAAACACATTACACTATTACTGGGTATCTAGTGATTGTTAAAAGCCGAGCAAAATGCCAGAGTAATACTAAACAGATATTCGCGAGTTTTGACGTTTTGTTTTGTTTCTTTAAAGTAAGAGGACAAAAAAAAAAAAAATAAAATGGAAAGGAAAGGAAAATAAAATAAAGGGAAAAATACACGTGGAAGTTGTTTGTGTATGCTGGGCGACATTCTATGGAGTTTTGCGATCTAAAACTTTTTTCTTGTCCCGAATTGGTACCGCCTGATTCGGTCCACTGCATAAAACCCATTTTATACAGCGTCGCAATTGAACCGCTCCTGGCAAAAGAAATCTCTCGGTCTCGACAGCTATGCGTAACTTCAATTCACTCCATAATAATATATACCAGAGATAAAAATACAACGAAAAAAGTAGAGAAAAAAATATTACGATGTCGATGGATACAACGAATAATAAAATATAATACACTATAAAAACATGTATACATACATAGATATATATAATATGCATTTATACCGTTTGTCCCGTCTGAGGATTTTTGTACTTTTACGTTCTATCAATTGCTATTTTTATTTTATTTTTTTTTTTATTTTTTGCGATAGTCGTGGAGTTGTCCAGTAAAATTACAGCCATTAGCGTTTTTTTCACCACACACGATCGATTATTTCACTTGACACGCGGCTGTACATATGGTTTTTTCGGAAATCGAATAGAAAATAGAACCATGAGTATTGTATGCGAGTCTTAATGTCCGTGATTTGTCTATGAATCATTCTAGTAAGAAACTTAAAATTTGAGTATCAACGTGAATTAAATTTTCAAAAATTAAAATACGTATTTACTATCTATATTGTTCACCCGGTCATTATATGTTACACGGTGAATCAAAAACAACAATCGGAATATGTGGTTATATATTTATATATTATATAATTCTTATCTTGCGACCAAGATAAGTATTGAAGTATTATAGGTTTTTAGGTGTGCGCGCACACTGTAAAAGTTTTCTTTTATAGTGTTGTCCGTGTTTAAAACATATCAAAAGTTTATTCGTTTCTCGCTTAACGCGTATTTATGTAGCTACATGTATATATTATGAGTAGGACTTGGATTTATATGCGTTGGCATATTTTTTTTTCAAATTCTGATTACTGCTTTAGTTTGAAATATCCACGAATTACATCATGATAAAATGAATATTGATTATTTTATTCTGCATATTATTGCATATTTTCACAATAAACACTTAAAATGCATGTACTATATGGTATATTTTAGCCGTGATGGTAACTAAAAGTGGAAAATAAAATATTATCAATTTAAAGAATAAATACCCAAGTATTTATAATAAAGATATAGTTATTTAATTTATATCTTATTTTAATTATCATAAACTTGTATAGCTACAACAGATTATTTTACAACTATAGCATTTAGTTTTTGCATAGACGGTGTCATTTATTGTAAGTGCATTAGATACATATTATTGTTTGAAAATCAACATGATTTCAATTTTTATAATTTAATGTCAAAAATACAAAGAAACAGTGTAATATTTTGACAGTATGTCAATTGTCAATCAAATGTAAATTTTCAATTTTTTTGTTGTATATTTTACCATTTTTTATTGCATATAAATCCTATCTCTAATTATAAGTATAAAATATGTATATCTTAACGAAAAAATCTCGTTTCACACGTTAATGCAATAAACAGACAATATAATATTCTATGTTAAAGGTGATTTTATGTTCAATTTTTTTTTCTTTTAGGTATGTTTTCTCCTCTACCCGTGGCGACACCATGTATAAAACACATTACACCGAGTGAAGGATGGACGCACGGCGGAGCTTCGGTCACTATATTGGGTGATAATTTTTTCGACGGTTTGCAAGTGGTTTTCGGCAGCAATCTAGTTTGGAGCGAAGTAATTATAAACAGAAAACTTTATATATATATATATATTATCGTGTGTTCACGTATTCCGAGCACGTAGGTTTAATACGATTATTGTATTTCCCTGCAGCTATTGACTCCACACGCCATACAAGTGCAAACACCGCCCAGGCCCATACCCGGCATCGTGGAGGTAACGTTGTCATATAAATCCAAACAGTTTTGCAAAGGATCTCCCGGCAGATTCGCGTACATATGTAAGTTTATTTGTTGTACATTGTGAATATATTATGATGGTAACATGCATATTTCAAAAAAACGTTTCGAAATATCGTCGCCGCCCACTTGCAATAGATTTTAATATTGCATAACCAATTTAATCATAATTTATATCATCATATTATTTATATAGAATATATTTATCATTTTAGCACTCAGCGAACCAACCATCGATTACGGTTTCCAAAGACTACAAAAATTTGTACCCAGATATCCAGGTGATCCCGAAAAACTACCAAAGGTAAATTACATTTAATACTTAAATTAATTAAGACAATATACTATTGTCTATTTAACATCATTATTTAGCTGCTTCGTGCAGTCTACACTTGTTTATACGTAATATATCGTATTTCATAATTAAATTAGCATTTTTCAAAATTAACAATCAGTAAATTTATGTTATTGTACGTGAAACGGATAAATGGGTAATAATTCTATCAAGTTAATTCGGTCATGTAAGAACTACAACACTTACTGCAGCTACATATAATAGCAGACGTTTGTCGCATACTAAGCAAGCGATTGCAAACCGACGCTATTTACAGAAAGATCAAACAATCATGCTCATACCAATTGAAAGTATAGAATATAGATGCAGTGGTATACACAGCAATTTTTAATGATGGGTGAGAGGTAGACTAAAAAAATTAATTTGATTAAAGTTATATAATGCAATCAGCTAATAAATAGAAATTATTATAGAAGTAATTTATATATAAAGATATTTTTTCTTTACTAATAATATACAATCTATACCTATATGGACACAATAAGTTTATGAAGTCAAGGGAATACATATACATATTTATTAATAAAACATATTAATAAATTATTATATTATGAATTTGTTATTATTAATAATATTAATAATAATCCCATAATATTTACATGATACAAACAAACACGATTCTGTTAATTTGATGTTATTTTGTAATATTATAAGATGACGAGTTGAATGAAATGAAAAATTCAAAATCTTCATTATTATCAAAAGTAATAACATAGGTTATTAATTATTAGTTTTATTTGAACAAGTTATAAAAACTTTAGAATAGATTTAATTTAAAATTAAAAACAGAATTATTATGTTAATGGTAGCATTAAAAATTAACTGAAAGAACAAAGTTTAATTTATTAGGAACCTTTCAAGGTATTTAATTTATATTTTTGTTCTTTATGGCTTCTAGTTAGTTTATAAATTACTCTATGTAAGAAATTAAAAAAAAATTAAAAATTAATATCTATATATATGTACAAACATTTTTTACTCAACATTAACTTTATATTTGGAGTAATACAATGGCGACATGCGTATAATTTTCATTTACATTTTGAAATAGGCAAACAACCAAACAGATATAATACCCCCCCCCCCTAGCTATGTTTACGCCACCGCAAAGATGTATGATAATATTATATTTTCTTGGGAGTTTTAAAATACGTATCAATATATTGTGATACATATCTGTGGTTAATACCGTTTTACCAATACCGATTCTCGCTCATACTAATTCTAAGTAAATAAAATAAAACTACTATCGCAACATATGGTCGTGATTTGTATGTATAACAAAAATAATATGTGTGTAGTATAAATGTCTCAGTGTCTATAATGTCGTATTATTACAGGAAGTGATCCTGAAGCGTGCAGCGGATTTAGCGGAAGCGCTGTACACGATGCCCCGAAACAATCAACTTTCGCTATCACTGCCCAGGTCACCGTGCTCGCGGGACAGGGACAGCAACAACATGTCGTCGTCGGCGGGGGCGGTAGGCACTGGGTTCAACCCGTACACCGGACAGCTAGCGGTGACTGTACACGACCATGGTGCTACTGGTCAATGGAACGACGGTGAGTGCTGTAATGAGATCATATTATTAAATTATTAGATATAATAAATGAGGAATAATATGAGAGGAATCCTTTAGTTTCTTATTCCTATCAGTGATCTAGAGCGATTATCTCGAATTTCAAGAGTAAAAATGAAAAATGTAAACGAAAACAAACTATTTTTTATATAAAATAAATCGATAATTTCAAATTTTAAATGAACAATATTAAATTAAAAATGTATTATACAAAAATGTAAAAACGATTTGATCGTAACATTGAACATAGAGACGACGACATATTGACGTAAGAATCGACGGTTGAAATGGCAAAGATTAAAAATAATTCCCCCGGAAAAATTAGTGTTTTATAAATAGATAAACATCAAATAATAGATAAAACTGATAAAAGGATCCCTCTTAATTATTCTTATTTTTTTTTTTTTTTTGTAAGCAATTTTTATACTGTACCTATAATTCAAGTATCAAAATAAGGTGTTTTAACTTTGATATTGGCTTAATATCTTTCCTAATAAAAAAGACTACATTTATTAATCAAATAGTTTTAACAATTTTGAGAAAATTACTCGCACAAACTTTTGACCTTTTAGCTATCGATAATATGACCACTCTGATACTTTAGTTTGAAAATTATATTAAAATATTCTCATTTAATTGATATAAAAATCAAAATATGTCACTTATGTCCTTAACACCTAATCTATAAGTTTTTATTTCAAAATATACAGTACCTATATGAGTATAGGACCTCATATATTTTATACTTATAGAAATAAAGAAGACAGTCACTTAGAATAAACTTTCTACTGTTTCCGACCAATCGTATTTTTGTCTTTAATCTTATTTGACCACTACACCGAATCTGATCAAATAACAAACACGTATAACTGCATGAAAACTTTATTATTTATTTTTTTTTTTTTTTAATCATATAATATGAATCAGGTTTCCCGTAGCTATATTATAACGTGTCATGTTAAATACTTTTTACTAATAATTATTCTAATCCTTATTGATACGTATAACCAAATTTGGACAAATATTTCGCCTCCGTGTAGCCATAGGTGTAAATCGTTAATAACAACCAAACGTTACCATTAAATCGTATTAAATTCACGATTAGCCGTATGATATTGGTAGAGTATAATATATTCAATATATAAATAAAGTATTCCAAAAAATACATTACCTATAATGTTTTAAAATACGTACAGAATATTATGATACAATATGGGTGCATGATAAAATAACTAGAATAATTTAACGCATTTAATATAATGGTCAGATTTCGTCCCCGAGTGTTTACCAATTTGTCGACGTTTTAACCTCTAATATGGTATTAGTCTCGACACGAGATACAGTTCATAATACTGATTTGAAACGTATAGTAATTTAATATTATCTTATAAGCCGACTAAGTGGGTTTATTTTTTTTTTGTAATACTAAAACCTTTTGCGTTATCCACAGACGATTACGGACGCGGTCAAAGCAGCAGCGTATCGCCCCGAGGTGGTGGTTACGGGTCCAGCGCATCGACGCCGCATTCAACCAACGGCACGAACGGAAGCACGTACATAAATCCGCCGCCAACCAGTGGCGGAGGTGGTGGCGGTGGTGGAGGTGGAGGTGGTGGAAGCGGCGGCGGTGGCGGAGGCGGTGGAAATCCGTCCAATTCCGGTCCCAACAACAGTAACGGGGGAAATTCCGGCTACAACGGTTCCTCCATACCTAACACCACATCGTCCGCGTCGTCCGTTCAACTGACCAACATGAACTCGCCCACGGCCACTTCGCACCCATCACTCTTCAATTCTTCTTCGAGTAAGTATTGTAATATGACTAAAAAATAATTTAGTACTAGTGTTATAATTATTGCATACAACGCTTTTTACTTAAATAATCACACAAAATAGATCTAGCCCAATGAGCATAACATTTCGAGGAAAATACCGTATACTAAAATACACAACAATTTCAAAATACAATGTGGAGTCGCATCTGTTATTATTATAGTCATAAGAATTTATATAGTAGGACGTTTTGGATGTATAAACACCCTCTCACGCCTCGACATTTTTGGGTGTTTTTATGGTTAATTTTTTTTTATTAGCTACAATTTTTATCATCTTGTTTTAAAAAAGTAATAATATCCATATGAAAGTTTTTTTTTACGTACGTACTACATCCTTGATCGTTATATTATAACTGCCATCTCTTATTTTGTAATCGAGCTGAACACTCTTCAATGGGTTTAATAATATTATTAACTGTTATTTTAGTAGTAATGAGTAATGACTAATGAGTCTGCGAATTTAACGGCGAATAGTGTGAAAAATATCTATTATTAAAGTCAATATAAATATTTAGTTAAGAAAATACATATAGAGATCATCACGAAATCCAAAAACATGACAAATCAAAATATTATTCTATATTACGTTAAATGCATATCGTATGTTTTTTTTTTTTTTTATATTAAAAATAAGTCCGGTGACTTAGGACATTAGCTGTTGTAGGAGTTAAGAATTGTGGGTAAGGGGTAAGATTGGTACGGTAGATTATTTTTACAACTGTTGTGGTTGTTACGGCTGATAGCAAACACGTATATGTGTGGCAAGGGCTTTAACTACAATGTACCAGGGTGGTCACCCATCCGAGAGCTAGAGCTGTGGCGGTTACTTACTCCCAGTCGCATTTCGCGACTGGTAGCAACTAACGCGTCACGCCAAGCCACCATACTGTATGTGTTAAAAATTGAACTGTGTGTTTATATATAATAGTATGCTTATAGATATACGCACTAAAGCTAAACTATATTACCTTGTATAGGCCGCAACAAAAATCGATTGCGAATAGTAGTGATATAAGCAGTATATGGGACATTATGCATGTATTTTGCGATATTTATACATCGCTTAAGCCGTGAACATCTAACTCAAAAAACTAGTTTTGACTTTATTACTAGCGGTACATCCATCATTGTAATAATTTTTTATTGACAACAATTAGGTTTTTCGATATTGTCTTGGGGCGTGGTACTTGTGTAAAATCGAAATTCTTCCAATTTTATATCATGTTAATTTTATATTTTATATTAATAGTTATCTCGCGCACACATCATATTAATATATCAAATATTTTTGTTTTCGATCTAAATTTAAAAGCTCAGGTATTAAATTAAAAATGTTATAAACTTTTATGCTAAAATAATTTGCAAAATTTTACAAACTTAAATTTTAAACCCTTTAAAAAAATGAAGAATGTGATTATTTATTTCCGATATTTTTAATTGTTTTTTCAAAAACAACATAATATAGGGAACTTTATATTAATAGATAAAATGTCATTTTGTATAGGTACATAAATAGAAAAAAATTGAACACATTACAATGTAAGTCATTAAATACAAAAAAAAAAAAACCAAAATATTTTGAAAATTTTATCATATTTATAAAATGTTCATATAAATACTTAGAAAAAAAAGGCAAGTATCTGGTGTTATCAAAAATAAATAAATAAATAACATAACACATCATATTCAAACCAATCCTGGAATAAGGTGATTTGGTATTTATTTACATAAAACTAACTTTAAGATTCATATCCATTGTAAATAATCGTAATTTTTCTAATTTAACTATTCTAGTATTCATAATATTGTATTTGTCATAATATTAGGTTTACTGCAATCACAAATTATATTATTGTGGCCTGGTGTGGCGCGGTAGTTGGCCTCGGTCACTAATGTATTCCGAAGTCAAGCATCGGCCGGCGTCACTAACTCTCGGATGGGTGACCCCCGAGTTTTTAGTGACAAATCCATAACACACACACATGCACCCACGTATTCCTACCCTACTAACCAAACCTTACACAAATACCTACTGTTCCTATGCACAGCTAATGGTCTTAGTTCCGAACTTAAATAAGATCAATAAATAATAATAATAAAAAAAAATATATCATTATAATTTACATATTTTTATAATTAATTTTTTTTATTTATGTATATAATTGTGACCCCCACAAAGTTCATATATAACGACCATTCAGTACCCGCTCGTACATTGGACGCCTGTATAATGTTGAAAAAATATAAAAAAAATGATAAAGCTATTTTTACTATATAAATTTTAAATGTAATAATCGCGTTTCCGTTATTCCGACAAACATTTTAGGATGATTAAGTTATTAAAGTTATTATTAAATCATTTTTAGGCGATGGCGTAGGGCAGCGCCAAGTGCGTCGGAGCGGGGTTTAATGCGTTTTTGTGCGTAGTGAAAAATTTAAATATTATTGTACAAATTAAAAATGTTTACTGTTGAATTGTTTCACGTGAGAAAGAAACCCATAGTCAATGTTAAAATACCAAATTTTCACTTCAAATAGTGTAGGATTTTGATTATGTCATAGCGTTTTTATTTATTTTTTTTCAAGACCAATATTATTTTATTTAAGTTTAGAAAATATAAAAATAACAAATTTTTATAACTACTCGTATTTTTACCTATTCGTGGTGTCTAAAATTAAAACCTCGCGACGTGGAAAATATTATCTTCTTTATTGTGTAATAATGTGGTGGCTCTACCAGAACTGCAGACCGAGTGATTCTTACCCGTGCAAAATGGTTTTTAGTTTTTACCAACAAAATAATATATTATACGAACGCAAGACGTCCTATTAATAGATATGCTCGTGTATTAATTGTGTGGCCATTTTCTTTTGCAATCCTACGCGTTGTTATAATTATAACGAGTGACATTTTTATTATTAATTTACCATGGTTTTACTTTTTACAGGAATGGGCACATTGGTAACATCTCCATTCGCCATGAATCCGTTCGCTCTACCCAACTGCAACGGACAGCCATACGCCACGAGCCCATTAATCAGTTCGTCTGCGAAATAAAATATTTACCAAGACACAATGCGCAGCCTTTGAAATAGTGTCGATTATGTTTCTAGTAGTTGTTCAACTTAATCGACTGTACACGCCAATTCGGGAATAGAACACTTCCGTATAATAGGTTTAAAATACGCATTGTTATTATCAAAATAATTTAATCATTATCTATTATTATTATTATTATTATTATTATTATTATCATTATTATTATTGTTATTATTATAATTATTATTATTACAGTCCGGATTTTCGTTTAAAGAGTACACTTAAAATATGTCTATGTAACGTAAAATGCTTACAAAGGTACATATTAAATTATATTACATTTCAATTAATTCTAGAAAAAAAAATTAATTCTACATTGTTTAAACAACTTTTCTATACTGAGATTCAAAACATTTTCCGTTACTAATTCGTTTACATAATTACATAACCACATAGGTACTCTTAAAGACCATGAAGATACGTAGTACATATATTTTTATTCATACATGCTACTTATAAATGGTCTCTATATTTTAATTTCTACTACGAGACCATAACAGATAAATAAGATAATGATCATACAACTTAACCATAGATGGAACATAAGACCTAATAGTTTTTTATAAACTCTGTAATTAGAAAAAATATATTAAAAATTAAAATAATATTTTCTACATGTCATATTTAGTTTTAAAAAGCAGTTGTAGGTACTTCATATATATTTATGAAGTGCAAATAATTTTAAAAATAATAATTAATAAAAATCTTAAAAATCCGGACAATAATTTATTATTATTGTCACATCGATAAATGGTTTGGGACATTTTTAAATCTGTCCTACTGACTAAAATATTATGTAATAAATAAAAATAATAATAAAAATTAAAATATCAAATTTTAATGAATTTCGATAACACTATTTTTGTATAAAAATAAATATATATATAATATATACTATATTGTATTTAGAAATCCTATTATAAACTATATTCTATTTAATCTTATTATTATATGTTGAATAATAATACATTTTTTTGTTTGTTTCTTTTTATTTCCAGAATATTTTGTTGTTCTTTTTATTTTTGTATGTAATTTTTGTTTTGTGTATAGTTTAAATGTCTTTTTTAAATTGTCTATGATTTTTTTTATCTAGTCTAATTATTATTGTAAAAATATATATCGAGTTAAGTTGAAATTTCCTCGCAAAATCATGTATTTTAATACAGTAACCCAAAACGAAGGTATTAAATTTATTTTAGAACACAATAATCCTATGAATGAAGTAATTTAAATATTATTTATTATTTTTATTAAAATACAATTTTTTTTTTTTTTTGTGACAACTTGATATACTAATTTTCCATGTCTTAAAATATTATTGTTAATTTCGATAAAAATATTATTCGGTGTGGTCATGTATTATATCTAATAATATTAGGCATGACGATTGAAACAATTACATATCATACGAGCTTTGTTTGCTCTATACAATTTATGTAAAAAAAAAAAAAAGAAAAAATACTATTGTTATTATTTAGTGTATATATATATATATATATTATACATAAATATATATTATATATAATTTTATATTATATAAACACTTTAGTTTCTTATCAGCTTCTGTAATTAGTACAGCGTCTTATATAACATATAAATCATAATAATATTATATATTCCTAGACTGCCAATTTTTGGTTGTATACAATTGTTTTCATTGTACATATCTAATTATATACATCAGTAATGATATAATATTATAAATACTCTAAAATTTTTGTTCAACATTTATTATTACTATTCGATTATGTAAGTAATATTTTTTTTTTTTTTTTTTGATTTTGAAATTAAAAAGAGACATTAGCAACCAACTATCTACTCATTGATTTGTATTTTGTAGTATTTGCTAACTATTTCGTATTAAGTCGTTCAATTTAAAATTTTGAATTTATTGAGTGCTTCGTAATTGCTCTGTTGACGGTTACCAGTGTTTCTTTTTCCTAATTTATTTCTATTTTTGGATCTTATCTGATTCAAGTAGAATGTAAAGTTAAGTTATCCTGTAGTCCACAGGCCAAGTTCTTTATGAGTTATGACTGACTCCCGATCCTTAAAACAAATGAATTATTAGTAGTAATGCATTATGCATACGGTTTCTATTAATTTTATTTGTACAAAGTAGTCAACAATGATAAGAAAATAAAATATGCGTTGCTGAATAATGAATGGCAACAAAAATTGCAGCTGCGTGTGTACGCATATTTTAAGAAGGCGTTAAAAATTTTCAAGAGGTGGACTGAACTAAGACTAAAAAGATATATTTAATAGTTTCACATAGCTCACCTCCTTAGAAGTTGATCGACGAACGGCTGAATAGTTGGCATGCAACCATTATGGCATTATTAGAAGCGCACGAATCAGGTCCAGAGATAAGGTCATATGCTTAAGCTTAATGATACAATTGTTTTAATATTTCTTTCCAGACATATTACATTTATATAGTATAAATTATAACGAGTTATTTGAAAAAAAAATCTTTAGTAGACAAATATCAACATTATATATTAATATTTAATATATATATATATATATTAAATATATTATGTAATGGCATATTGGTAACATGCCAGTATTGTTGCAGCATATACATACCGTGACCATATTTTTTTTCTTCAAAGCGGGACACCTATATATTTTAATAAGAAAACCACATCGTTTTGTGAAAAATAACAATTGTTTTATTGGAAAAAAAAAACATAAGCTATTTGTATAAAAAATGGCAACAGAAAAATGGAACTAATATATTAAAAAGTATAATAATAATAATTATAAATAATGTAAAAATAAATAATAGAGTATATTATTCGGCCGTATTCCATTTATCGCCGATTACCGCAGTTGACGCGGTGGCAGCGACAATAACAATAAGGTAGTTATTTTTGTACCATTTTGATCTATGTACTATGGGTTTTAGTGTTTTACGTAATACATATATATATATATACATATTACGTAGTTATACTATACGTCTATACTGTATAAATGTATAAATAATGTATGATTGTGATTTGTGATCAATAAACACTTACCACAAGTCGACTTTTCTTAGAGCGGGACATTTTTAGGTTCTATGGGGACAGCGGGACACTTAGCTCGAAAACGGGACTGTCCCGCCCGAAGCGGGACGTATGGTCACGTTGAGCATACATATATTATACAATACATTTAGTTATGTGACTTAGTGTATTGTGCATTTACTCGATAATTTATTAAGCTTATGCCTTAAAGTATAATCATTAAATTATTATAATTTATAATAATATTTTCAACCATATAAAACAAGTAATATATTATAATATAGTATATTTCCATCTTGTGTTTTGATAATGAATCAATGTTCGCATCAACTTATGTGTATAATGTATATAGAGTGTAGTGTTAATACATAATTTGAATGATGATAATAATTATTATTAAAAATTTCCTTTATATTTAATTTTAACGTAAGCAGACAACAACTTTTAATTATAATCTAACAATCATAAAAAATAAAACTATGGTGTTAAGAATAAAAATTTTCAAAAATATACTTGTTAATTAAAAATATGATGATTTCATAACCCCGAGAGTATGATGACTTATGACAATCACTGTTATTAGATTTTTTTACACTCGGTGCAAAATATAAAATTGGTGTTTTATACTCTCGTGTACATAAAATAGAACATGATAAATATATTATGATTTGGTGCCTTTTATAAAAGGTACCCGAGGCAAGTACCCTTTTAATTTTTATCCTCCTCATCTAAGACTCCGATGAATTATACAAATAAAAATACAATTCCTGAAGGCGCCGCTTGATCTTTAAATCTATATAGTCTTAGGACCTATGCAGTTGTCCCAACTATACTACATATAATAATTGAATTGCGATTGAGAGTTGAGACAGAAATCCTTTGACTAAACAGAATTATATACATTGGAATTCGTTACCACTTGCCAGTATTGATATTAGATAAATACCTACCTAGTGAACGTGGTATTCATTTAACATATACATATATAAAGTTAACACATATTGTACCATTACACATTTACGTTATCAATTTATTATCGTCACAAATCACATTAATTATAAATGACAAGTGTTATTGGTCAATCGGTGTTGGTTAATAATTTAAAGAATGGCGAAGATAGCCAGAAAAATGTATTCCATTGAATATTGACAAATTTAACGTCGGTGTTCCCAATAACACTCAACAAATGTTTTCATTATTATCATAATTTGTATGTACAAATCGTCGTCCATGGTTCACGCATTATTGCATTAGATACTTAAATTCACAAAAACCGTCATTGGTACATCCAATCTTCGACAATAACAAATAACAATACAACTCACTAATCTATAATGTTATTACAAAAAATCTATAGCATAATATTGTACGATTTTGAACGCTATCGTAAACAGAGGGTCTCGGAACATCATTATCATTGGCCCTCGTTCGCCAAACTTATTCTGCGCCAATTTGGACCACAACGCTCGCGCGGAAATCATTAATTATATCGCACCACGTAGATTCGTCGTATCCGTCTCTACACGAACAACGTACGAACGTATAAAAAAAAGGAAATAATATCGGTCCTCGTAGAATTTATTTATTCGCCCGACGTCGTCGTTGTCGTAACGTAACTCGCAGTGGCTGGGAATACACGCACTCCCCCGAACATCGAACTGGGAAATGATTAATTTCAATTATACGCTCCAGAACCACGGGAGACTATAATACACGCACATGCACACGATTTGTTTGCTCTCGCGTCCCCATATCGTTTACCATATGTCCTACCCCCCCACACTCGCCGCGATCTCTTCGCACAATACAGTTAAGTATTTGTTTTGGCCTCTTCGGGTATCGGGTTTTTTTTTATATATATATATTATACACATTAAATTTTTTAACAACCTTGGCTCTACTCAACCCCACTGATCACACACACACACACACAAACACGATACACTTGTGTAGGACGTATATATATATATGTGTGTGTGTGTGTGTGTGTGTTTATTATATAGGTACGTGAAACAACGTACAAACATCGATGACGGCTATATGTTGTGCACAATAATATACCACTTCACACACACACACACACATACACTGACAAACGCTTGCGCTTAATATCTATCGTGTTTTTTTTTTCGTTTTTTAATTCCTATTCGCGGTGGTTGCGGTTTATTTTTATCCTACCTACTCGTTTGGATTCTCAGCGATTTTGTTTGTTCACGAAATTGAAAATCCATCGATCGCTTCAAGTGCGGTTTTTTTTTCCCCGTAATATTTTATTACATTAATTGTGTAGGTAGATATATCTTAGATCCGATAGCAACCGTTATTGTCAACGATATGGAGTCATAGAAAACGGAACGCCGGGCCCGGAAGAATTTCTATCGTAATATACTGATAATACAATAGATGACTCATATTATATTTAATTTATTTGACATGAGAGCATTACATTATACATAATCTAAAATCGTATTACACATTATGACGTACGCGCCACGAGCACGAATGAATATGTATGAGGTACGGAAATCGAAAGGGAGCGCGCCTGACTACCCGCTCGAGTCTGTTATACTATCTATTATAGTCGGAAGTAGAATTCCCTGCTCCCATTCGTCGCATACACTCGTCGGAATTATATAACAATAACAACAATATAATAAGCTTCTGTTATTTTTATCCAGGGCTTAACTGACCCCTTGCACACTTTTTTTTTCCAAATTCAATCTTCACTCATCCATCATCACCGCGCCGTGGTTCAATTACGTTAATAATGCTATTCTCTTCCTGCACAAAATACCTATTTAGTAATTTAATAATATTTTTAAAAATTAAAAGTTTTTAAAATACTTATGATATACATGTTATTTTACATGTATAAGCTTTAGCGGTGGTAAAATAATTAATGACTAATTACTATTGAGTACAAATTATTACACATTACTTATCCCGGCCGTTGTAATTATCAATACGATTAATGAATTTACAGTTTATAAATAAAATTTACTGTACAATATAAATAGATCAATCGTGTTCAGGAAATCATTACAATTATTACTATAATATAGGAATATTAGTATTACCAAAATACAAGACGTGTTCATGATGGTTATTGCGTGCTCCACTGTCTTCACCCAGGTTATTTATACGCGATTTCAATTTTCCAAACGTTCTATTAAAATACTGAATATCAAAACCCAAAATGACCAAAGTTATATGAAAATTGATAATAAAATATTATATTATTTAATTTAATAATTTGTTTATATATCATTATGTAGATACTCGTGTAAATAAATTATGAATAAATTTAAAAATTATTGAAACTACAATTTGAATTATTTTAGTTTATTAGTTATTTGTTTTATTACTTATTAATTAGTTATTATAGATGATAAAAAAAATAGTAGCCCATATAACGGTTCATGGTTGACAATACTGGCAAACGCGTATTGGCTTGTCAGGACACTGGAAAAATCCCAGTATGCATTTTTAGGATCGTTTCACACTTTCACGTGAGTGCGTATCGTACGTGCGCATTTTCAGTTAACATTGAATAAGTTCATACACGCCACAATAGCGGAGGAAACGCGAATATAAACATTATACGTGTATTCATCCAAAAATAAATGTATTTTAATCATAATTCTAATAAAAACATAATATTATGATACGAACTATACGAAACGACACTTGAATACACAGTATACACTATACGAGTACTTGCATTGACTGTTTCTATTTATAATAAAATTATTTACAAATTTTTGGATTCAAAATTATCGACAGCAATAATATTATTAGGCATTAGCCTAGTATAAAATGTATTTTTACATTTATTTCTTTGAATTTCATCGTTGGATTTGTTGTTTCAGTTAAAAGACAAATTGCCAAACAGTCAACAGGTAGTTTTCTGATTTTAAAATTTCTAGGATAATTATTTATAAATCAAATAATGCAAACTGCTTGTCTAAAATATTAGTTCTAATAAATTTAAAATGATTTTTAAGTCAAATTTATTATAGATTTGGTAAGTTAAACCTAATCTTTTTTAAATACTATGAGGAATTTAAAGTTCGTTCTTAGCAAGGCATCGAATGTTATAACTTATATGCTACCTACTAGTTATAGGCACAATGATTTAAAAAGTTTTAATTAGTATTTTTTAATTTTTAAATAATTATTATTATGTGTTTTTAGTATTTAATAGATAGCCATATTATTATGACTTGTTTTTGAGTAAGCATTAGTCATAAGTCATAACTCATAAAATATACTATATAATATGCTTGCTGATTAGTATATTATATTGTATAGTAATTATTAGTAATATTACTCTAGAGACTTAGAATATGTACAGTATTTGACGTTTGCCGTTATAATTTTTACCATGATACCTATTTAATATTTATATTTATTTTTTTATACTTGATTTTACCTACAATATGTGATACTGTAGTATGTACGAGTGTCAACTGATATTGTTTACTTAAAAATAGATTGTTATAGATTTTAATTTTATAAAAATCAAGGAAAACGATATACATTTTTTACTTAATCAGTTTATCGTATAGAAGTAATAATTTTATTATTTCCGTGTAAGATTAGATATCTCAGATATCTGTAATCTGTACAAACTGCTGGCCCTATAGACAGATAATATCATTACCTACTTATTTTATATTCTACTACACAGTATTATATTATCAGAACTACTTAATAAAAAACCATGTCATAATTAACGAAAAATAATTATTTTAATATTGTTGGGCATTTATTTATTTTTATAGAACTTAAATAAAAAGATAAATTAGGTTTATTATTTCTTTGAATAGAAAATTAATTTCATTAAAACAGTTTTTACGGTAAATAGTGTTTTGATTCGCTGAAAAATGGTTATTTTATAGGGATGTCGACGATGTCATAGTGTAACAAATAAATAGATAATTTTTCTGATATTATAGAAATAGATAGTATACAATATACACAGGACTCTTTACTATTATTTAGTAGATCCTATTTATATCTAGTTTCCTGATACCGAGAAATGACTTGGATACTTATCACATGTTTTTAATCCAATTTAAATTATTTAGGTAGTATTATTAGTAAAGATAAATAATAGGTTAGGTTATTCGAATACGGGACGATTGGAGAGTCAACTACCATTTTTACCAAATTAAACTTTTTTTTTTAACGATTACGATTACTAATTTTTGATAGTCTAATAATTGGAAATCAAATATTTATTAAAATACAAATGTTTATGATATTTATAGTTATTATAGAGTTTTTTAAATGGTTTCAACATTGTTCAAAATAAGACGGGTAATTAAAACACTTATTTGTTTTTTAACGTATGTACATGTAATAGCATAAGTACATGGCAGCAGCATGGCAAAGTGTAGGTCCAGTGTAAATGTGTAAGTAATAGAGTCCAGCACGCGCTTAACTATTTAAGCCCCAGCCCGTCTATAAATATGGTTATTCATAATAATATAATCTGTTTGTATTTTCTTTGTGCAGTGTTTTTATTGAGATGCACCTATCATACTGAAATATTAAATTTGTGCGCATCATAATTTTATTATAAATAAAATGTGAATGATTTTTTGTTTGAATAAATAAAATTTGTTTTTGTGTAATTTGTACCATCAACAATACTGTTATATTTTTATATAGTTATAACTTATAAGTTATAAGTTATAATAATAGCTGTAGTAATTTATAATAATCAATAGTACCATTATTCCAATGTCATCGACAATAAGACGTTTCTTAGAAATAAAATATTATCGTCTTGCTATAAAAAGTCGAAAATCAATATTTATATTTAAAAAAAAAAATTATTTTTATTTTTTTGAAATATTTTACTTCGCGTAGTATAAACAGTTAACACAAACTACGTTTTCAACACAGTTAATATTATAGAAGGTTTGTCCAAGTGACTTATGAACACCTATTAACATCAGCAGGCATTTCAATTTCACGGGATTAAATACAATTCTTAGTGTGGAATGTGTTATATACACACAAAAACGGTTAGTTAATCTGGTCATCATAAACATATTATATTTCATAGCTCCTACGCTTGGTCAAACATTTAGTCTTACTTTGGAGATTTGACATTTATGCTAAACTGTCAGTTTATACAGCTCAGAAAAATCAATTAGAATAATCGTTGGAGTAATGGACAATCTTGAAACAATGAAACATATACGTAAATATTATAATTTATAATGTAATATGTTAGTCGTACCCTTGTAACAGAATCCGAACCCTTAGACTATACTACCATAGCCCATAGATAGAGGTCAGAATTTATCCGATTTCCTACGAAAACAATAATAACATATAATAATGTGTAAAAAAAAATAACAAGTACTTAATAATAATAATATTATGGTCAGATTACATGCAACGTCGAATGAAATTAAAATATTTTGTTTTTGATCAGTGATCACTATCTTAGTACGTTATACTATATGTTGTATTATTTATATTTCAATTATAGAGCATTTAATGTTAAGATAGACATTAAATGATAATCACAACGATTACGGTTTAATAGCGTGCATAGTCAAGATAATAAAATTATAAGCACACGTCATGCCCCCCATACAATATAAATATATTTCGATATATTATTATAATGTAGTATTTATTATAATATGAGGAATTTCCAAATATCCCCCGCAGTTCGTTTGGAATCGTCGCTGATTATTTTTAAATAACATTTTCAATATTCTATATCCGACTAAGTCTTTCTCGTCGTTGTCTGGCGCCGACATTCTAAATTTAAATTAATCGGGTAATTCCGACTCTGTGGCGAAGCCGCGTTGTAGACAATGTAGACTGTAGTAATGCAGCTTACTAGTTCAACTGTTTCTATTCACTAGTCAGTAGTCGGCCTGTCAATTGTCATTTCACTTTTGTTCTTTCTACAGAGAGGTCGGACTGTCCCATCTTCGAGCTACCATTAGCAATTGTCTACTTGTTTACCTACAAAGTACGAAGCAATACGAAGTTTTTTTAATAAAAACATATTGTTACAAAGGTATGTTATATTTTATCTTAATTTTTATAATACATTTTTAACTTTATATTAAAATACAAACTACTCACTCCAAAACGAACAATATTGGTATTTTAAATTCTCAGTAAAGGTTCTAAAACTTATGTTTTTTTTAATATGTACAATTTAAAACATTTTTGCATTAACAGTATTTCAAATAATAAAAAAATATATTAATTGTACGAGTCTTAGCTAATATTTTTTCTAAAAATATGATTTTTTTCATGAATTAAATAATTTATTTCTATTTATGATTTTTTAATATTTGAAATTTGTAATGAGACAGATCTAAGTTATCTTTCAATAAATTAATAATCCAATTCGATTATTATTACAATATGGCCATTTCAAATACAAGTGTTAAATTTAAACTATTAATTTAATTTGAATAATTTATATTCAAATATATGTGTAATATATATATGTATAAATTGTTGTTTTAATAAACGAAAATAGCATTATATGTAGAGGAAATGGATTCCATCAATTATTAGATTTTAGACTTATGCTAATAAATTATGAGTAGTCAATATTCAATGGTCCTACAAATTATAGTTGTGTGTGGAACATTTTAATTGAATAAATTACTGGGTTTTCTAGTTTATTAATTTAAGATGACGTTTTACCAACATTGTGTTAAATCCGTTTATACACGCGTCGCACGTGGAGTGGATTATTAAAATTTTTTAAAATACCCATAAACACCTTGTACTTAATTATCAAAAAAAAAAAACATGTTATGGCTCTTGAATAATATTAAACTTATAACCTTTAAGATTGTCCTTATAGATTTATTTTAATATTAAAAACTACGGAGTAAAATTTATTTTTATGTAAAATTTTGTTTTTTAAGTTAGCGAGATGGAGATAACACGGTATAACTACCAATCTGCCATAATATATACTATATTGTATATAAATTATTTTAATTTCAATTCCAATATGAAATAAAACGCTTTATTCAATGAAATTTAACTAAAATATGTTTTATTGACTTATTAACGATGTATGCATCTGATAATAATATAACTATTGTATAATTAATTTTATAAACATTTTACATTAAAAATGAAAAGTTTACTTAATGTAATTTATTCAACTTAAATAATATTAAGATTACTTCTATAATTTAATCCGAAACATTTCATGAGTTCATCAAAATTATTTAAACTTATTAATAATTTTATATTTAGAACAACGTTAATGGGTAGATGGGATTTTCTATTATTAGTAGTGCTATGGACTATAATATATTTTTAAATAACAATATATAAATAATTGTTTATTGTATCGGCGGGTTATGGACTATGGTTGATTGAAAATTGTTATATCTTATATGAATTTATGTTTAGTAGATAGAATAATAATAAAATTTACAAATAACCATAATTTGGATATCTAATATTATAAATATTTGTTTAATTTTACGGCAATTTCTTGAAATAAAGCCACACTTTAATACAATAACATTAAAGCTGATAGTTTTGATCAGAACATACAGTTTAGATATATTATGTTTTTTCACTTTTACAGTAAGTTAAACTATGTATTAAATATTATATTATAATAATTTTAATATAATATTTTAATAATATAATATAATAATATTTTAATATAATATTATTATATATTATAATAATTTTATTTTATAATTTTTTTATTTTATGTATTAAACTATAAATATGTTACTGATTTTAATTCATAAAATTTCATCTTGAATACCTAATCATCAATTTTATTAAACATTTCCCTCTAATTATTTAAAAATAAACAATTAAAATAGTACGTTTTCTTGGCTTTGTTAATTACAATTCTTACAATGTGGTTTCATTTTGCGTAAAGTACGCTAATATAAATAAAGATCGATGAAAATAATGTTCATTGTCAATATTATTGTTTTTGTAAACAATAATAAACTACACGCGGCTGCAATAATAACCGGTTTCCAACTATTTTCAGTACCACTGCCTTTTGGCATGGTATAGCGAAATGAGGGAATGAGTTTTATAACATGAGCTATAAATTCGTAATTTTCTTTTCCAAAAACTGCTTTTTTCGACTAATGATCTGGTATTGCTTTTTTTGTTGATAACAAATTGTATACTGAAATAAATATGTATTATACATTTTTAGAACGGAATTTTGATAACTGAATTAATTGATTTTTTTATCAAACGAAATTTTTTTACAAACTTGAAGTGCAATATTTTAATTGGTTTATAAATAAATTTGAAAAATCTGTTCCGAGATTTTTTTATCACACCTTATGTTTATGTTGATACCAAATTATGTTACAACCAACGAGCCTTAACGCTTAAATACTATTTAACAAAATAAAGTTTATTTTTTTACAGTCGATTTTTTTTCCGTAACTGCTTCTTAAAGCGTTTAACAAATTAAATAATTAAGACGTGAAAAGAAAAATACTAATCGAATTAATCGATACTGATATTACAATTCACGACTTACGTTGTACCAATTAATTAAATTATTTATCATACTTAGCGATTAGGTACCCGCGCACTGCACACTAGATACTAGATAATCACTACAACTAGAAAATACAAATGCAAAATTATTTATCTCATTTATATTATATAAAAATATTGATTTTAGTGTACATATATATATATATAATAGTTTTAAATTTATTTTAGTCTTTTATAAATGTTGAAAATCTATGTAGAATATAACTTGTCATCCATAGAACTTAATAAAATAGTTCTACAAATAGATCAAAAAATGTATTATTAAGATATTTATAAACTACAGTTTAATATAATATAGGTTTTCAGTTGAATATATTCTAAGGCTAACACTCTTAATAATTTTAATCTTGTGTGATTCGATTTTGATGACGTGTTGTTTTTATATAACAAGTGATTTTTATTTGAAAAATTAAGTATAGGTTCATATAGAAAAAAATAAATAATAATAAAAATACATCTTATGAATAATATAAATTTGACAAACTTAAATTACCATTACATTTTAACAATTTTTACATTTTTGAGTTTATTTATCGACCATAAGAACAGAAAAACGCGATTTTAAAATACGGAACGGGTAGTTGTTAAATTTTTAAAGCTATTTTCATTAATGTCGTTAATCATTATATTATATTGAACTTTGATTACTTTTCTGATCAACTATGTATTGAATGAATTCCGTTCACTATTGCGTGTTGGGAATGTTTAATAAGTTATAAATTCTTTTGATTTTGAATTTTGATTGTTGTATATTTAAGTATTAATTAAAATAATCACATTATTTACACGTGGTGGTTAACTATTAACTATTAAGGAACATTATGCAATTATTACTTGGATTATATTATTTTTTGATTTTTTTTTTAAGTTTCATTTTTTATTTGGTTTATTATTAAATTTAAAATAATAATAATTAAAATTGGACTTAGTTTAGTCGATTAATATTAATTTTACAATACGTGTTTCATTTGCAATACTACAAATATAATCCGATCATTGAGAATACAACTAATTGGTATTCAGTCCAGTATTATTGTTGTTTTTTGTATTGACTATTAACTGGGGTTATGATGGAAAAACCAGTTGTTATGATTTCTTTTATCCAGCACTAATAATACCCAATATTCTAAAATCTATTAACGTTTTCATTATAAATTTATGTTCTCAAAAAAGTATAAAATTTAAAATTTTAATGATTAAAAATTTAATTTTTTAAAAATATTTTGTTTTATTTCAACTGGAAATTGTGGAAGAGTAATATTTTATAACTGTTAATACATTTTGAAAAATTAAGTGTTGATAATAAAAGAATCTCGGTTTAGTGTATTATAAAATATTATAAATAGATATGTGTGTAGTAAACATTTATCTTCTAATATAAATAAAACGTAAATGACAAAATGTAAAATATAATATATTGTATAATATCTTTTTTCCTATTTTTAAAATTAACAATGACGGTTACATTATTAAATTATTAAATGTTTGAAATGGTTATAGATCATTTATTATTAATTTTTATAATAAAAATAATTAATCAATAATAAACATTACGCATTAAACACATTTTATAAAATCCATCACAGACCACAGTAATGTATATTAATCGATGAATAAATATTAACTATAGATATGTTGTTAAATCGTCAGGAATGAAAAAATTAGTAACGTTGGTAATAAATATTAATACATGTCCAGTATGAAGAATGATTATTATTTGAATAAGTTTAAAATGTAGGTGCTAAATACAATTGAATGATATTTTATTCTATAAAGTATAAATCCCAAATTCTAATGATACTAAACTACTAAGGCACCGAAACTATTAAATGATTAAACAGTGATATTATAGCATAGATATTTTTAAATTTTAAGAGGACATGATACCTGCATGTGTTGTCTCCGTTTTATAAGTGGATAACATAGCAAATTTTACGCTCAGCAGATCACGTTTTGCTCCGTTAGTTTAAAAATTAAAGTGAATTGAACTCTTATAAAATTTAAAGGTAAAAATATTATTTAGACGACCTCGTGGGCATTTTACTATATTTTAATTTTGAAGCGAGTTATAAGTATTTTAAGATGTATAAAATTTACAATTTTAAAACACTTATAACTCGCTTCAAAATTAAAATATAATAAAATGCCCACGAGGTCGTCTAAATAATATTTTTACCTTTAAATTTTATAAGAGTTCAATTCACTTTAATTTTTAAACTAACGGAGCAAAACGTGATCTGCTGAGCGTAAAATTTGCCATGTTATCCACTTGTAAGACGGAGACAACACATGCGGGTATCTTGTCCTCTTAAGAAATATAATATATTTTATAAACTTAAATTCATTTTATTGTATTTAATTTAAATAAAATAACAAGTGTACGAATAAAATTGTAGGTAGGTGTGGGGCTCTTATATTAGTGATTCATAATAAATATTTCATGGTAAAAAAATCGAGTTATTTAATATATATATATAATCCAACTGTAAATTTGATATATTTTACCCGTGTACTAATTTCTTCACCCGAGTCAACTGCTGATGTTCCAAATTAGAAATATATCAATATTCAATGTTTATATAATATAATATATAGTGTAAATTATTCAATTATTTTCACGACGCGTACAAAATATATTTGTACATATCGCTTAAGCCCGTATTCATTTTCTTAATCAAATCGAAAATGTCAACATAATGTAATATTTTTAATATTTCACTCATTCGATTTAATATCCAAAAACGCCAATAGATCTAATTGTCATGAAAAAAATAAAACCTGAGAATTCAAAAACTCCCGAGCCCTAGTCATCATCAGCTATTCTGAACAATAAAATCGTTGTTCGATATCCATTAACCGTTAATATCATATTGTACACTGGTGTGTATACCATGTTGATCGTGTGCTCCGCGTGGCCTGGTGTGATTATCGAACGATGTAGAATTTCGCCGGCTGGATTTTCGACGTTCCCAAAAACGCTGCAGCCCGTAAAAAAAGTGAGATACGATAGGACGATACGTACGCGATGATTGACGCGGCGCAGCGGCAGTGCAATGTGTAATTTGTGTGTAAACAACAAAAGCGCCGCGTGGCCCGTCGGACGTCGGAGATCCGCGTGGGAGAAGCGCCGTCGGCTGTCATATCTGGTCGTTTGATACTAATAAGCTCGTCGGTTTTATCAATAAAAATGTAACTAGACTCTTCCTGGCCTTCCGGCCGGCACGTGCCGAGCGCGGCGTACCGTACGAAAAAGAAGATGGAAATATGAAACAATAACATTTGTGTTTTCCAAAACGTTTACATTGTGTGCGCGTGTTTGTAATGTTATTGTAATTATTATTATTATTATTATCGTATAATATAATATATTATTATATAGTAGGTAGGTATATGTTTTATTGTGTGTGTGTGTGCCTTTGGTTGCCGAGGGTGGCGATTTATTTTAAAACTACGTGTCTACAAAATAATAATAATAATAATAAATGTTATCGCGCGGAGGCATGACGCGCGTTGTGTGCTGTATATACTGCGAGGGGGCTGGTCCTGAATGTGTACACTGTAGTACACGCACATAATAATTTCATATTAAAATTTCCTCGTACACTCTGATTCTGGACCAAAAATTATTTTACAATATTATTTTATTTTGTATTTTCATGATGTACATATATAACGCATTTTCATTACCAGCCGCTTGTTTATTTGTTATTTAGTATCTAGTACCCACCAGTTAAACGCAAATAAAAATGGCTAGTAAGCGATCTTTCAAAAAAATGAAAACTGACAACAAGGTTTGTATTAGTAATATCTAAATATTTTAAATTGAATAAGACTGTGCTCACTGAATTTTTTCTCAAGTATTGCAGTTATTTGATTTTTGGAATTTAAATTTATGCTTAGACCATTTATTATGAATACTTACTATTTTCTGTTTTTCATAGGCAACCATTAATTTTTTTCATTTTAAATATTCAGCAGATATTGTTTAATGAATACGAATTCTGATTTAAAATTTAAACGAGTGAAATCCGAGTTGTCATGTAATAGGCTTATGATTATATGAAGTATATGATTATTTGAATGTTTTAGTAATTCATATTAATCTATTAAGATTTTATAGTTCGTAAAAATAAAATATTCTTTATTACGTTTATTTTATATTTATTCGTGAAATTATTTTTAAGAATATTATCCTAGTATACGTGCTACTGAATTTAAGTAATTTTATACTAATAAATATTTAATATTCAAAAGCTGTTAGTTTTGTATTTTGAATAGGTCAATGATCAATGACATTATTTTCAAAAAAATGTCTGTTGAATAATTTAAAGTAAAAACGAGTCATAAAGGCGAGTGGGGGCTCTCATTTAAAAAAAAGATTGAATTGCCACAGAACACTTGAAATGAAAAAAAAATCTCTAGTATTCAAAAATAAAATTTTTAAATTTACTTAAAAATTCCAAAAATTGCATTTTGTGAATATCTGCATTATAAAAGATAAAAGTGCGGAAATGTTAAGTGAATCACCCTGCATAGACTTTACTTAAAATCAAGGTACCGTAATTATTATTGTTTGCAGTTTACAACAGTACCTTCGTCAAGTAAAAGTACATCTAAATTACCACGGCTAAGAGTATTGTCTCTTTTCGACGGAATTGGTACAGGTAATGACAAAAATAAAATAATTATTACACGTACATTTACAAATAATTAACACCAATATGAAAACACGTTCATTGCGCTGCCAATATACACGAATCCGTTTAAAATGTTTTTATTTATTATGCGTGTGTGTGTGTGTTTTTTTTTTATAGGATATTATTCGTTGAAGGAGCTAGGATTTGATATTGAGGTATTTTATGCAAGTGAAATAGATAGAGATGCGTTAATGTTAACTAGGTATCATTTTTCTGACAACATAATACAATTGGGTTCGGTCACTGAAATAACCAATGAAACGTTAGACCAAATCGGACCGATAAATCTGCTGTTTGGCGGTTCGCCGTGTGCTGACTTGTCTAGTGTCAATTTTCGCAAAAGAGGCATTTACGGTAATTAAAATATCTTTTATACGTTATAAGCGCTGTGATATTGTAATGCATGATGAATAACCGAGTGCAAATAGTCGCAAGTGCAAATACAATATCTAAATTGTAATTGAATAACAAAGCTTTAATATGTTTACTGTAGATCCAGATGGTAGCGGTATATTATTCTTTGATTATTACCGTATATGGAACTATCTGCAAGTAAAATGTCGTAGAGAAAATACGCCATTTTATTGGTTGTTTGAAAATGTGGCCAGCATGGAACTTAAGAATAAAGAATACATTTCAAAGTAAATAATAATACTATCAGTAAACATGTAGTGCATTAAAAAAAAAATTAATTATTAATTATTATATATTATTATTAATTAATTATAATAAATTATTATTTTTATATCAGATTTTTCGAGTGTCAACCAAATGTTATCGATTCATTGCACTACAGCCCGCAGCGACGAAAAAGGTTTTTTTGGTCCAATCTCCCGGGCATAAGACAGCTGTCTTATGCCCGGGAGATTGGCCAAATTGGCACTGATGAACCAAGACTGGAAGATTATTTGGAAAAAAATTTAGACAGACGGGCTAATGTAGAAAAAGTTGGAACCATTACTTCAAAAAGGAGTTGTTTACAAGATGGTATACTATTAATCTATAAAATATTATTACCAAATAAAGAATTATAATTTGTTTTTTTCGATCTTGTTCAGGAAAATCTAGAAATCCTGTAAGTCAAGACGGACAATATACGGGGCTTTATATAACAGAGATTGAAGCAATCTTTGGTTTACCTCCACATTTTACAGATGTCGGTGATCTATCAATCGCAAGTCGCCAAAAACTTATAGGAAGAGCGTGGAGTGTTCAAGTTATTAAAGAACTATTGAATTTACTTGAAAACATATTTGCTAAGAAATAATATTACATTTTAACCAATAAAGAGACCTTACACTAATATATCTGTAATTTTTTCGTATTGTTACAATCAAATAAATAATTTACCAAGATACTAATTAATATGATAGTAATGATTAAAATAAAATTTAAAAAATGTTGTAATTTTTTTTAACTGTTAAATAGTCTTTAATTTCTATTTTTTAATATAAATATTTTATAAAGTATCTATCCAAGTATCAAAGATGATATCTCTAATCGTTCCATTTCATAAAATCACTACTGATGATAGTATTAAATATATTTTTATATTTCTACACTTCACTAGTATAGAAATCCATGCACTTAGTTGTAAACTATAATATTATAACAACAATTTCACAACATCAAGATTAACAAATATATCAAGGAGCACTAAATGTACTGTAGTTGTTACTAAAAATACATGACTGTTTCCTGTCATTTGAAATTTTTGACAACTCGACTATGATTCAAATGAAAAAGATGATATTTATTTTCATAAGCAACATTGTACATGCTATTTCATTTCTCCAATACAAATAATTTGAAACAAAATAAAAACTACAATGATTAATAATATTAACAAAAATTGAATAATCCAAATTTCATTACAAGGTTAGTAAACTGTGTATTGGATTTGAGAAATCTATTAGATATAAGTAATTCAAGGTCCTTTGAATTATAATTTTAACTGTTGGTAAGGAATAGAGAAGATGGTTAAAATAATGTTTCACTCGGTATATTTTATTGGTTCACAATCTCAATTAAATATTGTACTATGAAAACTTAGGGATATATTAGCCATCAGGAGTTTTGTGAATAACTCGAGTTTTATCTACTAAGAATTATTAATCCAGAATTGGTAAGTATTAAATAAAATATTCAATAACTAGTGGTTGTTTTCTATAACATTAATATAATATACTCAAGTGTTATGATCAACGTATATTAGGCAATATATATGTATAATGGAATATTTTAAAGTGTAGTCCAAATTTGTTGAACAATGATGTACATTTATAATATTATTATAGTAGACTATTATTAGAAAATATAGTAATTTTGTCTGTTCTTATCGGCTTTCTTACAATGGGGCAGTCCGCATATTATGTGTGACGTATAATTTGTAATTTTCAAAGAAAGATTTCTGGAAAATGTGCCGCAAACCCAAATTTCACTCCCAAGATACACCACGGTAATTTTTAAATTTGGGTGGTCAGGACCATGATGTAAGCTTGCGTGTACTCGACACTATTTCGTACTACGCAGTGTATCGCTTATGTATAATACAATAGTCCCGGTGATGCGCACAAATAGGTTGCGCCCTCTCGCCGTTTGTCCCGCGTTACGCCGTACTGCGATAATGACTAAATTGCGAATAATACTCTGGACGATCGAATTCGTGATGGGTAAACTTATGAATGTGTTTTCCGCTAGATCGATCTAAAGGCATTGCCTGCATTGACTACTAATTTACTGATCCATTAATCATTATTTCGTATATTATTCCATTGTAAACGACCATAATAATATTATTTTTACAATATCATGTTGATTTCTATTCACATTTGGATACAAGTTATGATAATATCATTAAATACTTATTTGAATCGTATTTTCCACGCGATATCATAATTACCACAATATAGCAATAATTATTGTAATTTTTTGATTGTGTTGATATGCTAAATGTAATAATACTTAATTATATAAATAGATCGCTGACCTTAATTCACTATACTGTTATAATGGTGTAGTGTACACGGACGTAGGTACACTAAAAATAATAATGTAGTTTATTGTTTGATTTTCTCGAAATATTATCAATATATTTAATTAAAAATAGCACTCAACATTAATTTAGAATACGCTTACGGTTAGTAACGCGTTGAGATACATCACGATATGTGTAGCGCGCATACTGCATATACATTATACACACTTCCGTTCATTTATTTTCGCACGCATTGACACGACCCATATATTTTATCTACCATTTAATTTGACTAACTCCTTCTCCTTTGAAAATGGCCGATCGGAACCCCTTAAACGGCGATATTTTTGTCATCGTAATGTTCGGAAGAATTTCTAAACTAGACCTTAAATGCAAAAGTTTATTTTTATAGTTGGTTCTCACAATCGTAAACCTTTAGGCTAGGATCACACTATGCGTTTTGTCGGTTCCCGACCAACCGGAGCCGAACCGCAACACTTTAAAATAAAATAGGTTTAAATAAAAAACGCGTTATCAGGGCCAGACTAGACCGATTTGCGGAACCGGATAAAAACCGTCTGGAAGCGACCGCAACGTGTTGCGGCCCAACCGTCCGGTTGCGTCTCGGGATGTAAAGCACAACACATGCAATGCGATTTGTCCGATCACATTTGCGCGGATTATCGGTAACCGAAATTGAAAATTTTATGAATAATTAATAATCATTTTTAAATTTAAATAATTAAAAAACTTAAAATATATTTGTAATATACATATATATATATATATTATATTTTATTTATATTATAGATGTATATTATTATTTATTAGCATAATTAGTTGATACACGTTTTAAATAAAAACAAATAATTCTAATCATACAACCTTTTTATTATTTTTTACTTATAATATTAGATACCTACATTTCGTTTAAATAAAAAATCAGTTTAAAATTTAAATTTAAATTAAAAACGATTTTCGGGCTTTTTAATCTCATTTGTATTTATTCGGTTACCGATAAAACGCACAGTATGATCGATCGTCCCGATTGCGGTTAATCGGGATAGTATTTTTCGGTTGCCAACAAAACGCATAGTGTGATCCTAGCCTTAGAAAATGAGACATTATATTAGTATATTACATAATTTGGTTTCTTTGAATTATTTTCCCGAATAATGTAAATTCATTTATAAATGATTAAATTTTACAGATAGTCGTTCATACAGTAATTAGTATGATTCAATAAAACACAATAGAGATAAAAGAACACTAGATTAAACATTTAAACGGTGTACAAAACAAAACAAAAAATAATATAAATTGCAAGTTACTTTTAATAAACTATTTTTATTCTTATATCAACTAATATAAATGGCTTGCGTTTAAATGAACTGCAAAGATTATTTGTATGAAATGAAAAAATATTATTTCCTTTTTCTAAATCACTAATCATAGGTACCATAAAAAAAAAACAACCGAAAATATGAAATATTTCATTTATTTTTGTAAACTAACGTGTTAGCTATTCATTCCACATTTCATAAAAACGATAAAATTTAATTCTATTAACTTCATTGTTTATTATTGATGTAAATAAAATTATTTATTTTTAAAACTTTCATAGGTGCCTATATCCTCGAATTGATATTTTATTTTCAAATTGTATTTTGATAATACTGTAGGTCTATAAGAATACAATATTCAAATATTGTAAAGCTATACGTGGCGTTTACATGCTATAGCCTATGACAATATTATATGTTGTTAGTACTCATAATTTATAAGTTTATGACATTAAGAATATATTGTAATGTTATTATAATGGTACACAGATTAAGTTACTTTACTACTTTATAATGATAAAAGAAACTAAGTTATTTACTAAACTTTATGTAACTCCAAATGTCTGTAATAAATAATAATATTCGAAATAAGAGTCAAAATATTTAAAAAAAATTATATTATACATGAAAGATTCTAACATAAACATTTGTTAAAAATTCCAATTATCTACGATTATTTGTATTTGAATCTCAATAAAACATAAACAATTATTTGAAGAAAAAGTACTTAAAATAGTTATTGTTCAAGAATATGCAATGTCGTAAGAATTTAAACTTCAAATAGTCATAAAAAATCAATGTGACTTTCTAATAGTGACTTTTTTTTTTTAGGTTATAGGACATAGGCAGAAAAACTAATGAATCTTAAATTAAATTTTAAAAATGTTTACTCAATCAAAACAAATAACGATAATAAATGTAGATGGGAGATAATAATAAAAACAAGAAAAAATTATTTACATCAATGAACTCATCTGTAACAAATTAAAAACTAAATGGTGAACATTCAATATTTAATAAATAAAAAGAAAACAAAAATACTACAAATATTTAGTTTGAATTATCATCATGTAACATACGGGGTGACGCAATATTAAATGTACTAAAAATAGGTAACACACTTATCTTACCACAGGTACTGAATGGATGAAGAAAGAAAAATGTATTTTATTAAATGATGTTCCAGATATAATCAAACATATTATATTTACAGAATGTATAACTACTCTAGATTCAAGAACTATAGATACAAGTAAAAAATTTAATATTTATATAATTTGCTGGACATGGCGTATCACAATAATTGAAAAAACTATACTTTTAATTAAAATCTCTGTAGTGTTTTGAAGAAAATGAAAAAATAATCAATTTGCATCTATAATTTTATTTAACTTAACAAAATAAGCAAATGTTATTTTAATACCAATGGTCCACCTCTTGAGACATTTAGTGAAATTTATGTCTATAAAACATTCATTTTTTGTAAAAATAAAACATTATTCACTTTACTCATGAATAGTTCAATAAATAAATCGTACTAACAAAAAAAAAAAAAAAGATGAAGTAAAAATGTATTTATTACTATGGGAAATACATAAAAAATATCCACCAAGTTTTGTGAATTTAACACGTATTATTTATTTATTAAAATTTGTAATTCACTTATTTTAAATTCAGAATGAAATTTATGGATGTAAAATAATTTAATTAACACTGGTATTACTTCGTTCGATTTGCATATTGCTTATTATAATATAAATATTGTAGAATGTTTACAATTTTATTATTTCATTAGTCTGCGTATATATTTTATATTTGTACTATTTGTATATTTTTATACTTATACAATACAATATGATAATGTATCATCGTATAAATTATTATAAGTCATTATGCTTGCTTACATCATTAGAAGATTAAAAATAGTGATACTATGATAGTATATAATAAGTATACAAATGAATCTCCATTTAACTAATGTGTTTTGAAATTATTCATATTGAGCAATTATACGTAATTCAAATTCTCTATAATAAGAGACTTTTGATGTCTTGAGACTCGAGCTTAATATAGTTTTAGATCTTTTTTGCCATTTATGAATATTAGTTTAATATTTAAGATAAACAGAACATACTACTCTGATATTATGAATTTTTGTACCTACCAATTATATTATTGTAATAGACTTCTTACCTGAATAGCTCATATTATTTTATTACTGTATAAAATTAGGTTTAATTTCAGTTATTCATCATAGTTATAGAACTAAGTAAAGTATTATGACACTTTTCATTGAAAGTTTATGTAAAAATATGTGCACATATTAAAAATTTTGCATTTTGTATATTATTGTTATATATTATATTATTATTATATTAGTAGTATTTATTATTATTATACAAAAACGCTTAAATCTATTACAAAGAAATAAATCGTTACAAATAGTCGTTTGTTACATAATCTATGGAAACCATACGAACCTGCTGTTGCGAAATCAGTACTGGCATTACAAAAATGGTTACTATTACATATTATTATTAATTATCTTCATTATATGGCAGCAGGTGTAAAATAAAACGAAACGAAATGATATAAAATATAATATAATTATTATATTAACGAAACGTCCGCCGACAAATCGAGGTAACCCACCGAGGCGTGTCTGACATTACAGGTATCGGCGGATGTCACACTTTTGCCTACACCGGTATACCACGATCACCACGACGACACCAGGCACACGCCCGTCATTGCTAAACGCGGCGGTGACCAGCAGGAACGCGCAGGAACGCGCGTCCATCGAACCGTCTGAGCAAAGGTCGCCGTGTTCTTCCTCTCACGGTCTGGACGAAATCGTGGCCGATGGTCACGGCGCCATACCGATGCAGCGTCCGAGGCCGGCGGCAACGGACGGCCGCACGCACGATCCGCCGCCGCTGCGTTTCGACCACAGCGCCCTGGGGCCCTCGTCGTCGCACGCGAACCGACGACCAGGTGGGCGCTCGGCCGGACCCCGGTCCAGGTGGCGCGCTTGATCGTCACGTTCGCCGTTGGTCTCCGAGTCCGCCGAGGAAACGCCGGTCTGTAGTACATCCGTAACCCGGATAGTCGGGCTGCGGCGACAGGTCACACGCTGGCCGGCGCAAGGGATTGCGGAAATCGAGTTCGCACAACGAGGTGGCACGCGCGCGCAGCGGCGTCGGCGAGTTCGGGCGCTCGAGCGCGGGCGACCGGCGCTCCATTAACGTGTCGTTGCGCACCTCCGCAAGCCAGCGGTGTCTCACGCCATCCGCGTCGTCCACGCTAGCAGCGTCGGTTGCTGAACGCACGTC